TATCGAGGACTATGGTGGTGGGGGCACCGCACACGGCTAAGAGATCAATGATCAATTGTTGTTTCTATGTGGTTCCCCCTGCCCCCGTATATAAAGGAGCAAGGGGGGAGGCGGCCGGCCTAGGAGCAGGGCACGCCAAGGGGGGAGTCCTACTCCCACCGGGAGTAGGACTCCTCCTTTCCTTGTGGGAGTAGGAGAAGGGAAGGGAGAAGGAGAAGGAAGGAAGGGGGCGCCCCCCCTCCCTAGTCCAATTCGGACTAGTCCATGGGAGGGGTGCGGCCACCCTTTGGGGCCTTTCTCTCCTTTCCTGTATGGCCCATTAAGGCCCAATATGAATTCCCGTAACTCTCTGGTACTCCAAGAAATACCCAAATCACTCGGAACCTTTCCGATGACCGAATATAGTCGTCAAATATATCAATCTTTACGTCTCGACCATTTCGAGACTCCTTGTCATGTCCCCGATTTCATCTGGGACTCCAAACTCCTTTGGTACATCAAAACACATAAACTCATAATATAACCGTCATCAAACTTTAAGCGTGCGGACCCTACAGGTTCGAGAACTATGTAGACATGACCGAGACACGTCTCCGGTCAATAACCAATAGCGGAACCTGGATGCTCATATTGGCTCCCACATATTCTACGAAGATCTTTATCGGTCAAACTGCATAACAACATACGATGTTCCCTTTGTCATCGGTATGTTACTTGCCCGAGATTCGATCGTCGGTATCTCAATACCTAGTTCAATCTCATTACCGGCAAGTCTCTTTACTCGTTATGTAATGCATCATCCCGTAACTAACTCATTAGCTACATTGCTTGCAAGGCTTATAGTGATGTGCATTACCGAGAGGGCCCAGAGATACCTCTCCGACAATCAGAGTGACAAATCCTAATCTCGAAATATGTCAACTCAACAAGTACCTTCGGAGACACCTGTAGAGAACCTTTATAATCACCCAGTTACGTTGTGAAGTTTGGTAGCACACAAAGTGTTCCACCGGTAAATGGGAGTTACATAATCTCATAGTCATAGAACATGTATAAGTCATGAAGAAAGCAATAGCAACATACTAAACGATCAAGTGCTAAGCTAACGAAATGGGTCAAGTCAATCACATCATTCTCCTAATGATGTGATCCCGTTAATCAAATGACAACTCATGTCTATGGTTAGGAAACTTAACCATCTTTGATTCACGAGCTAGTCAAGTAGAGGCATACTAGTGACACTCTGTTTGTCTATGTATTCACACATGTATTATGTTTCTGATTAATACAATTCTAGCATGAATAATAAACATTTATCATGATATAAGGAAATAAATAATAACTTTATTATTGCCTCTAGGGCATATTTCCTTTGGAAGTTATCTTGTGGGTGAAAATGCAGTTGATATTCCCCGATGGGCATGCACTGAATCTAAAGAGGGGAGCGAGTCTTGAAAAATTGAAGATATTTTGTCTCAAGAGTCATGATTGGCACATATGGATTGATCGGGTAATGCCCGTGATGTTGCGTGGATTCATCCCTGAGGATGAATAGCTAATACTGGCAGAGTTGAGCTATTTCTTCCATGTTCTTTGTGCGAAAGAACTATCGCCTAACCTAGTAGAAGAAATGGAAGAGTTGGCGCCGGAGTTGATCTGCAAGTTAGGGAAGATATTTCCGCCGGGCTTCTTTAATCCAATGCAACACTTGATTTTGCATCTCCCGACCGAGGCACGATTGGGGGGGCCTGTGCAGAATCGTTGGTGCTACGCAACTAAGAGGATGCAGAAGACGCTTTAAGCAAAATGTAAAAATAAACATAGAATTGAAGCATCGATAGCCAAGGCATTCATTACTGAGGAAGTGGCAAACTTCGTGACAGCACACTACAAAGCCAAAAATCGTCATTTGCATAATCCGAAGCCTCGGTACAATGCTGGCGACCCTAAAAAGGGTCGATCCAACCTTAGCCTATTCAAAGGGGATCTGGCACCAGTCGATGCTTCTAATTCCTTAACGTTGGATTTCGAAGAATGGCAGACCATTTCGTTGTATATCTTCAACAACCTAACAGAAGTGCGGCCGTACATCAAGTAAGTTCTCGGTACATTGTTTCACAACTTCTAATTCCTTTGAACTGCCCTTATTCCCGGATAAATTTGATACAGTTGATACGTCGCCAAATTCTCGTATGGAGCGGTGATCTAAAAGGATTCCATCGAAGAGTATGAGCTTCTGGCAAAGCATGGAGGCGGCTATCCCGGTTTCATCTCTTGGTTCAAACAAACGGTAATTTCCATTAAACCATTTCATTTCTTCGTCTAATTTGTGGCTAGTGCAACAATCCCTTTCGTATTAAACTTGTAGGCTAATTCAGAGCTTATGGACGCCGAATTGAGACAAGTCGTTAATGATTTTGACTTTAAGGTCCGTTCATTTGACAAATACGACATCAACGGATAACGCTTCGTACCTATGGCAAAGAGCTATCTATGGACGACCAAAAGTCTAAAAATTGTTGTGTCTCTGCTATCGGCGAAGGAGATACCGAGTATTATGGAAGAGTTGAAGCAATTTATGAACTTCAAGCTCAAAAGGGATTCTTGCGGCCAAGTTTCTTTCTCTGGTAAGCAAAAGTGCATGACTGCTCTAAGAATGCTTGTACTTGGTACTGCCGCAGATGCGTTGATGAGATGGTCAGAATGGGGGAGAACACATGCCTGAAGACTACTGTCAAGTTTTCACGTGCCGTGGTGCAAGTGTTTAGAGCAAAGTATGTGAGAGAACCAAATGTGCACGACATAGAAAAGTTGTTGGCTATTGGAGACGCCAGAGGGTCTTTAGGAATGCTTGGATCAATTGATTGCATAGATTAGCAATGGAAGATCTGCCCGCCTTCTACATGCCGAGGGGCCTATAGAACCGGGTGTAGTGGTCGCCGCCGCCGTCATCGTCGTCGTCATCGTCGCCGCTGCCCTGCGTCCCGCTGGCGCCACTGTCGTCCGTGCTGCACCCTTGACCAGGGTCGTCGACGCGCGGGGGGTAGGACGACCCGGGCCCGTCCTCGTCATCGCTGCCGAAGACGACGACACCGCCCACCTCGCGTCCGCGACACCAAGCTTTGATCTTCACGTAGGCCCCGCGCTGGCGCTCCACCTGCTCGCGGACGTAGTCCGCCTTCGCCCACTTGATGGACGTCTCGTCGGCGGCGGCCATGTCCTCGTGCTCCTTCTTCATGTGGAGCAACCCCGTCTCGGTCTTTGGCCGGACGAGGCGGTAGGAACGAGGGGAGGGGCGGCCGCCCTCATTGATGACGAGGGCGCCGATGCGGGTGCGGCGCCCAAGTGGCGTCTCCTGCGTCTCCGGCTTGACAGGGCGGAGCGCCGGCGAACCGGAGGAAAGAGAGCCAAACCCCGATGATGAGGAGGTCACCGCCTTCATTCGCCGTGGCGTCCAGGAACTATCGCGGCGGCGAGAGAAGGACGGGGGGCACCGGGTACTACAGGCGCGGCGTGTTGCCGGCCTCAATGTGGTCCAGGACGGCTTCAAGGGTGCGCCCGGGCACCCCCCCCATTCGCGTCGTCCGTCGGAGTTGAGGCGACTGCGGGGCATGACGCCGTTTGTGGAGGCGACCTGGTCGTCGTGGCGGCGGTCAAAGTACATTGTCCACAGCGTGTGGCTGTCAGTGGCGTACCTCGGCTCGTTCCGCTTCTCCTCCGACAGCGGCGAGCGGATGCGTGCTATCTCGGTGCGCTGTTCTGCACCGGTTGGCACCGGGGGCACCAGAACGCCACCGGCGCTCAGTCCCCACATGTCCGGGGGCGTCGGGTAGTCGGCCTCGTAGAGGAGGCGTGCCTCGTTCTCGCGCAGATGGCTTCGGCCGACGCCATTCGCCGCCGCTGCGTCGCCTGGGTAACGCTCGGCCATCGCTCGTTGGCGGGGGAAGACCAGGGAAAGGGGCTTCAGTGGCGAGAAGGGCCTCGGCGGCGAGTTGTGGCGAGAGAGGCGTCAGTGGAGTTTGTGGCGTTTACCGGCGGGGAGGCCGGCTTTTATAGCCGAGGATGGGCGGTGGAGAGGCTGCCCGCCGGTGCCGCGTGGCGGGAGTGGGCGGGACGCGCCACGCGTCCCACGCGGCTTCACTGCGCCGTCCGTGATGCATCAATGAAAGGCTGACCGGCGCGATAGCCTTGACATTGATTCTTGCGGGAACCGAGGCGATGAGGACGACGAAGCGGCGAGTCACTGATACGGCGGGCCCATTCCCGTTCGCGCCAAAATCTGTTTCCCGGCGCCCTAGCGTGCCGGATTCGGCCTGGGTTTGCGGGCGTCAAAATAGGACCGAACAGGCGAAAATTGGGCTTCTGAAACGCGGTTGGGCCGAATTTTCGGTACCGGCGACCAAAAGAAAAAGGCCCGGCGGGGCATGACCGGAGATGCTCTAACGGGAGAAGTAAGTAGGAGGGAGGGTAGGTACAACGTCGCGAGAGGGAAAAGTGCAGCCTTGTTGCCGTGCTGCCCATTTTGACTCCTTTCCTCACCCGCCACCCTGCATCTTCACCTCCCGCGGCTGCGACCAAGAAGCGCGAGGTCGGGACAGTAACGCGGCGAGTTAAATGCGTGCTCCCAGGTAACCGCTCCCGTTCCTCCGGCTCCAAATCGCGCCGTGGAGAAAGGGCCTCCGAATCTTTATTTATTGAATTGCGTTTTTCTCTCCCAACATGCAGATTCCTTTGACTGCTCTGCCGCCATCACCGGGGCCAATTGATCCGTCCGGCGAGCCGCTGAAAATCGCGCCCTTTATCCGCCACCAAGATTCCCCTAGCCTTTCCGCGTCTCTTCCACGCCCGGCCGGTTGAACCCCCGCTTGATATCCGTCGCTGTCGGCTTTCATTCCTTTGGGACAAGTGCCAGCCCCTTTTGGTTCTTGGGGTTGAGGAGGGCCGGAGCCCTACCGAGACCACCGTAGGCGGCAATCCCTCCCTGGAGACCAGCCGAGGCGATGAGCAACAAGAGCGGCGGCGTGCTGTTGCAATGCGCGGAGGCGACGGCAGCGGATTGGGGCTGCTGCTTCCTCTCCCTCTCCGTGCCACCACCTCCACCTGCTGCGCCCTGTGATGCAGATAGCAATGGTGGATTCAACCTGGCATGGACCCTCCACCAGTCCTTCCACCCACCCGCTGGTCTCTTTGCCAGCGTCGGCCACAAGGTGGGGGTGGGCCTCTCGGCCTCCTCCTCCGGCGCCACATCGTCGGGAAAACCCCCAGACCCGTACAGAAAATACGTTTCACCGCAGGCCGTCGAAACATCCCTGCCGGTGCCGGGTGACGGAGTGGGGTTCTGGGGGAAGGGGAAGAAGAAAGCGGTGAAGATCAAGATAAAGGTTGGGAATTCCCACCTCAAGAGGCTCATCAGCGGGGGGATTGCAGGTGCAGTGTCAAGGACAGTTGTCGCGCCTTTGGAGACGATTAGGACACATCTGATGGTCGGCAGTAATGGGAATTCATCCACGGAGGTGTTTGAGTCCATCATGAAGAATGAAGGATGGACTGGATTGTTCCGCGGCAACTTTGTTAATGTCATTCGAGTCGCCCCGAGCAAAGCAATCGAGGTAACTAATTGATCCATGGCTGCCCTGTTTTCTTTATTCTGCACCATGGTTCCCTTGTTTTGGATATTGATTCTATTATTGTAATTTTTTGTGATGTACTAGCAGGAAACTTATTTACCATAATGTTAAGAGTCCTTGCCTATGTTTTTTCTTTTGATTAGCATATAAATGCACATACCAACTCACATACAAAAATTAAGCGTCACTTGTTCTAGATCAGTGCCCGTTTCTGTCCAAGTTTCGGCTTTTTTACTATTGTCTTAGGTCCTTTTCGGCAAAGTGCCTACATATATTCTTCAATTAAGTTTACTATTTAACCCTGGCTAACTTCTTCTTTTTTGTTTACAACTGAAGTACTATTAGTCGTATTAGTGATCACTGAGAAGTCCAAGAGCTTATAAGCTGAATTTACCCGAACATATATTAAGAGCTTTCCTGAGCTAGGCCACTCATGACTAATCCTTCAATCTAGTTCAGAAGAGATCTCGGGCTTTGATGTCTTCATATATATTATTTGATTCAGTATTTGTTTCAGAAGAGCTTTCGTGATACCAGAATTTTTATTTCAGTTTGATTCTTCTTAATATATTATTGTTCTCATTTCGTCATTAGGGACCCATTATGTTACCAGAATGAAATTATAGGTTTATATAACAAGGAATCGTTGTAGTTTACCCAATGAAAACAGTTGATTTTGGCAGTTGCCAACTTGCCTGTCCTCTGCTCAAGCTGGTCTACAATATAAGTAGGTTGAAGTCTTAAACAAGGTTTCGAACCACTGGTTCCTTTTTTTGTACAAGATCAGTCAAGATAACATATCAGTGCCTATTCCAGTTTCCACAGACCATAATCCATATACAAGAAACTTCGCATTGCCGTTTTATTGCCATGCACCTGCCAAAGTCTCCGGATTATGTTCATCATTTAAATATTTTCATGCCTGAAGTGTTATATGTGAGCAGGGATTGAAACTTCAATCATGTCTTGACCATCGCAGTCTAATCAATCTGTTCATTTAATTATAGTGCTTTACAACCTCTAATGCTATTTACCTTTTCAATCAGTATTTTATTGAGAATATTTCTGTGCTAGCTTATCTCTTATGCAGTTATTTCCATAAGGTTTATCCTCTTCCTTAATGCTTGTTTTGACCCTTTTTTCCTCTTGTTGCAGCCTTTTGCCTTTGATACAGCTAAGAAGTTCCTAACCCCCAAATCTGGGGAAGAACAGAAGATCCAAATCCCTCCTTCACTAGTGGCAGGGGCTTTTGCTGGTGTCAGCTCAACTCTGTGTACATACCCTCTGGAACTAATTAAGACTCGATTAACCATACAGGTTAGTGGTATTACGCAAGAACTGTCTGGATGCCAGAAAAACACTTCTGTTAAGAGTTTTATAACAACACATGAAGTGCATATGATGAATGCCATCTAATTGTGCAGAGAGGTGTGTATGATAACTTCCTCCATGCATTTGTGAAAATTGTCCGTGAAGAAGGCCCTGCTGAGCTGTATAGAGGCTTAACCCCAAGTCTAATCGGAGTAGTGCCATATGCAGCAACCAACTACTTTGCGTATGACACCCTTAAGAAGGTGTACAAGAAAATGTTCAAGACAAATGAAATCGGCAACGTTCCAACCCTCATTGGGTCTGCTGCAGGAGCCATCTCAAGCACTGCCACATTTCCTCTTGAGGTTGCCCGCAAGCACATGCAAGTCGGAGCTGTTGGTGGCCGGAAGGTATACAAGAACATGCTTCACGCTCTCCTGACCATTCTCGAGGACGAAGGGGTTGGGGGCCTCTACAGAGGACTGGGGCCTAGTTGCATGAAGCTGGTGCCTGCTGCTGGGATTTCGTTTATGTGCTACGAAGCTTGCAAGAAGATACTGATTGAGGAAGAGGACGAATGAAGCGTTCCTCGACAGCGGCGTCATAAAGGGGTAGTGGCTTGAATTTTGTTTGCCGATCCTATTAAGGATCTGAATCTGATCCTGGGGCCTTCCCCCCAAGATACGAGGGCTCGGTTTCGCGACGGACAGCGGGGAAACTTTTGGCCTCCTGTGAATGAAGTTACCTGACTAAGCTCAATAATTGTTGCTACAAGATTTCAAACTCTTTCTGTAGTCTCAGCTTGCCCTGACGAAAAGTTACATAAGTTTCCAGTTTGCTTTGGGATACTATATGCATGAATGAAGCGTGTGTTTTTCAGATTGTTAGGGGGTATGAAACCAGTGAAATTAACTCCGGAGACATCAAATTTTACATGAGTGGCATCAAGATTTATCTTTTTCAGTTCATTGTGTTATGGACTTCTGATTTTGACTCCAACTCATGGCAAGTCTGGTATGGACTTTTGATTTGATGCCAACTCGTAGCGAGTCTTCAAGAGTGACACTTAAATTCTCAGCTCTTGCCACAATTGCATTGCAAAATTAACATTACCAACAGCTGCAGCATGCATTTTTGAATCAAAATATCAAATATGTATATGTTTAATAAATTCTAGAGGTTCGCATTGATCAAGAACTGAACACATATTCATCCTCTCTCTCGCCCTGCTCCCGCTGTAACCAAAAGTAATAACAAAAGAAAACAGAAGCCATCCTGTCTACATGACTAGCAATTTCTAGGTCTGCTCCTCCTCGTCTTCTGCTGCCTCCTCCGCCGCAGCCGTGGCCATCAACTCATCAAACTTGTCGCTCTTCCGCAGCACTATCTCAATCTGCGCAAAATGTTCAACGTGAACAATATCTGAATGATATCTTTCCCTATCCCTATCCCTATCCCTATCCCTATCCCTATATATATATATATATATATATACTAATAAAGCAATTAGTGCTTCTGGTCGTACGTCGTCGCCGTTTTTACAAAAAAGTCCTTATGGTTTTTGGTAATTAAACCCGCAGTCCCTTTTTAAGTTGAAAAAAACGTTTCGTTTAGAAATTTTACCAGGAAAACCTTGTGGTTTCCTGTATTCAACCCGCGGTCCTTTTAATGTGAGAAAATCGCAAGGAAGACAGGCGGATCTGGGCGCAGCGTCGAGGGATCTAGCGGCTGGTGCGGCGGCTTGCTCCGGTGGCCGCGGTGTCCTGCTTATCCAGAGAAACAGGGCATGAGGGAGAGAGGAAAGAGATGAAAAAGGAGAAGGAGCAGGGGCGCAAGGTGAGGGAGAGGGATCTGGCGGGTGGTGCGGGGGGCTTCGGTGGCGGCGGCGTCCTTCTCATCCAGAGAAAGGGAGAGACAGGGCGTGAGGGAGATAGGAAAGAGAGGAAGAAAGGAGAAGGAGAGGGGGGCGCAAGGTGAGGGAGATGGTCGCCGGCGGTGGCGCCTCCGGTGACCGGCCGGCGGCAGGACCGATGGTGTCTGGAGTTTTGGACACCTGAGCGAGCTACCCTGCTGCTGCTAATTCTTCTCTCCCCACGCCTCTGCTGCTGCTCCTTCTACTCCTCAGATGCCCATGCTTGCTCTCAAACAATCATTGTTGAAGGTGAAGTTCTTTTACAGAAAAATGTAAAATATGTTACGCAGAGGAACTATGTTAGCTGAAGTGGCTGCTAAGTTGTTTCAACAAATGAAGATGAGGTTTGATGCTTAATTGTGCTTGCAGGACTGAAGGGCATGATTTCTGGACCACAGATGATGCATTTTATTGGCAGGCACAATCAAGGGCCCATCATCTTTCTGCTATAGGTTCAACACAAACAACAGCTATCTTGTTGAGATTCAATTGCTATTCGGTGGAGAGCAGCCACAAAAAGTTCCTCAATTGATGCACAGTGGCCACCGAAAACAGATCTCGCTTTCAATCTCTAATTGATTCTCAGCTACAGAGTGGCATGTATCTATAGACTTGCTAATGTGATGGCTAATGCATGTGTATTAATTCATGAATTAGCAAAATATTTCCCGTGAGATGTGCTAATATACAAATTTGATGTTCACAGTGCCCTCCACTTTTTTTTTGTTATGCCTATAAGAGATGACTTATTTTCAATTTTTAAATAGAAAAGCACAGTATGGTTGCTCTTATATACAGCTCATAAAAAGGAATTACAAATAAGAAGAGTGATGTGTTCTCAAAACAAAATTGCTGAAATTCACATGCATGGTGGCGCCATACAGCGAGCGCATGGTGGCAGAGTTCACAAGCTAGATCTCTGACTGGCGTAATGGCTCGTCCTGATGCAGAGAAGGACGGGGTTCAAGTTGTTGGGCCGGTGGCAGGGGCAGCATGATGTTTTCGTCAGGTAACAACCTAGCCATCGACTCAAGATTTAACTGAACCAATTCCTTTAATTCAAGCTCCAAATCGTTGTTATTTGATTCACTAATTGGTTGCTGGCAACAACTAATTGGACATATAATTGTTGATTTATGTACAAACAATATCTTCAGTAGTTTTCAGATCTTCAATAAGGATCATCAAGCCCTCTGTTTTTTATATGAAGAATAGATATTGTAATTGTGCCTCCATTACGTCTAAAAGTCAGATATCGGAAAAATGTCATTGGCATATCTCTGTCACGATGGAGGATTGGTTAGACAGAAAAAGGACCTCTGGTTATGTATGACATGATGCGAGGCACATATCTCTGAATGAAGCGCAACAAGAATTGACATCCTCTAATGCTAACTGTTGAGCATTCTTCTCTGAAGTATCAGGTCAGTATCCCATGTGCCCCCTATTCATCTGTCATCGCTGCATAAAAATTTAATGCAGTTTTTAAGCCTATGTTTAAGGGTAGCTAAATCTCTATGGACCAACCATATTATCTTTTTGAGATAAGAAATCAACCTTCATCATGTACTTATGTTGTAACTTCTCCCATCTTTTGTGCTATTATCTAAAAGGGGTGTGGATTGGAATCAGTTTTTTTGCTGCACCCCCATTCCGACGAGGTCACGCACACATACCACTGGGAATCCCACGAACCCTATGTTCGAGCGCGAGCGACGGCAATAGCATCTGCAAGTACTTGACCAACACGCTACCCGGGTGTGGTATCCACTATTGAGGCCAAGCAACCTAGCTCGGTCATCCTTAAGTGTGTTTGTGTCCACCACCTGATGAAGAACGGGAGAAGATTGCTGACTTTGTGCCTAGTGATGGTTGCCTGAACTTCGTAGAGCAAATTGACGAGGTGTTGATTGCTGAATTTGGTCTTAAGAGGCACGTCGTGGGAGATATCCCTTGTGGCAGGTTCAAAGTTGTGATGGTATCTGGTGTCTCCCAGCGAGATTTGTTCCTTCTCTTAACAGTTACTATTAAGGTATAACAGTGATGTGCTACTCTGCTGGTCCTTTAGATGTCAAAAAGATTATGTGTTGTGCTAGCTAGCGACTTTTATCTCCCCGTGGATGCAGATTTCAGAATATGTTTAGTTACGACGTACCACAAAGCTGATCTTTTTAACATTTGATTGCCGTGCTTAATACCACAGTTAGGTAGTTTGACTCTTAGACACTGGTCTTTTTAATATCAGACTTAAACAACTACAGTTCTAAATAGCAGTAGTTCTTCTGAATTTCTACCTATTTATTTCACTATTGTGGTTTCAAAATCCAATAGCCTTGCTGTTAGTTAATGCTCTATTTATATTTTTTGCCAACAGAACAAATTTATGTTTCCAGCAAAAAAGTTGGCCGGCCCCAGCAAAAAAAAAGAACAGTTCCAGCAAAAAAAGATCGCCGCCGTGGTCACAGGTACTAAATGGTTCCACTGTACATCTCTATAGTTATTTGGCTGAAGGTGCGCATTAGTGGTTAGCTGTGATAATACAAATAGTAAACATGTTATACCAGGTAGCAGAACTTCACGAAAATTTGCTGAAGGAGTTGCATCATCCTTGATCAAATATTATTTTTATTATTCCTTCTTGGTTTTAGACAATAACATTAGAGAATCTAAATCCTTTTACCGCGCATCAGTACATGTAATAGAGCAACTCTTGGTGCAACTAGCTGCAGCAAAGACCAACTTGACTTGATGGTATTTTTGATCTGTTCACCTACCCTCCCTCGCTCAATTTTCTTGGGAAAAAACACCCGCCCAATGAAGCCATCTCCGTGTCGCATACCTATTGCCACAACCAACTAAGCTAGCCCAGTGTTTTTTGTGGAAAAGATGGTTGTTCCTTCTATTAAATAGTCCCACCTCGCCCCTTTACACCCAATCCTCTTAATTTCCTTATGCCTTTGAATTTCCTAGGTGTCAACAAGCAGTCTTCGGAATCATCAATAAGCCAACAGCGAGAAATAAGTTCAAGAATTGAGTTCCCTTAACAGGGAAATAAGGAAGGGAAGAAACAAATAGGGAACAATCAGATGAAGCATCAAGGAAAATGGATTGAACAATCAGATGAAGCATCAAGGAAAATGGATTGAACAATCAGATGAAGCATCCAGCTCGAGGAGAAGCATGGTCTGCAAGGAGACCAATCATCTTGAGGTGGTTCTTTCAGCTACTGCATGTTCCATTACGGAGAAGGGTACTTAGTCGATCTTAGGAGCCAGACTCTGCTTTCCTTGCAGGGAGAATTTCAATAAATGGTACTATTACTCTCCCAACAATTCTTTTATCACTACAAAATGTGTAGGAACCTTATTTTTCTTAAGTGGCATAATGTGATTTCTTAAGTGTTGTGTTGTAACACTTTAGAGTAAAAGAATAATTATGTATGAAGAATAATATTACCGAGTCAGGCAGAATTTGACCTTAGTTCTGACCAAATTAATCTTTATTTGTTTGCCAGGTTGTGTGTCAAACATCACTTCATGTTGTAGTCCATTTTTTCCTTTCAAAAGCCACATTATGAAATTTGGCTTTATAAGAAGTTTCACTTTATTATTAGTGGAGAACGGGAGATAAGGAAAGGGAAGGGAAAAACAGTAATTCTAGCAACTAGCCATTGTTCCGTGGCAAAACACAGGTGTTTGTTCTATTATGTCCATCGGAAATCTTTACGGAGGAGTTGGGACTGAGTGAGTGACATAGATTTGCTTGAGGTCACAAATTCTTTTCTGCTGTTACTTGCATCTTACTTGAATTTTTTTCTTCAAGTTCTTCCTGTTTTCCCATATCCTCTGCTCTATAGAAGCTGCTACATCAAATTAAGTAAGTGCATCCTTCTTTTTTGTCCAAGTTTATTCTATTCTATTACTCAGAAGTCTGTACAAGACTAAGAGAGTGAAGCATATTTGCTTGAGATTTGAATACTTTTTTGATGTCGGGTTTGTACGCTATACAGTTTGATTAATGAAAACTGATAAAAGTAGTGGCAAACACTTGATTGAGTAAGCTACTGGATTTTACCAGTAATACACAGTAGTTTCTTGCAATATTATCTGCATGACAAGAAACACCCATATTTGATTTTGCTCTGTGATTGGTTCAAATATCACTTTTTGGCTAAAGCTGATTGGATACGAGTAGTAGTGCCAACAGTAATAACTTTAAATATGATTTTACCATGGCTCTAAATTTTATTGCTGATGATTTGTTTCAGGATATTTGGAGAGGCTATTTGCACCGTAGTTCAAGACAGCTGATAGAGTATAAGCTAGGCAACTCACTTATATTGTTACTTGTTTAAATGGTTATCTATTCTGCCGGCATATTCACATGCCATATTAATTTCAGAAGAACAATTTCTAATTTGTGTTGTGCTTGCATGCATTGTTCTGTCTAAAAAGAAAATTCCAAACAAAAACAAATATAAAGTCACAGTTTGTATTTACGCACTGGATAGTTTCAATCGCGCTAAATTAAACGAAGGCTTTCAGAATAAATTGTGGCCTCTAAGCTTGTGTGTACTCAATTACTAAATGTGTAATATCAGCACATATTAGCACGACTATTTCTTAAGTGCAGCCAGCCACCAATTTCATTTGATTTGAATTAATATATTACTTATATACTCATTTAGATATTTATTTATGTCCTCGATGGATTGATTTGAACGCCACAATTTTATTAACCCGTTGCAACGCACGGGCCCTTTTGCTAGTCCTGCTAAAAACAACATTCTGATGATATGACAATATGAATTATTCTGACCTTGGCCTTTTGGATTGGCCGCCCTCTCATCTCATCCTTGATTTCCACAGTGGATGTCCTAATCCCTGCACATATTGTTCTTGGTTAGACAAACTTTGTACGAGGGGAAAAAGTGTATAATGTCGGGCGAGGGGAAAAAGTTCTTACTTGTCTCGAACGCGAAACCATTGTTCTTCAGAATCTCTGCCACTGTCACGACCGTTGCTATGGCTGCAAGCATATTGGGCAGACATGTTAATGAGCCCTGATCGATTGTGGTGTTCATGGTTTAAATTGTCTCATGAAAATACTATGGCAGTACTGATCTTTATCCAACACTATATACATATCATAATGTGAAGCCGCAGTTGCTTTTTATTCCCTATTCAATCCTTGAAGTAGTGGCTTATTAGAAATTTAAAAAAAGTCAATCAGAATCATACTAAGGCCTATTCAATCCTCAAAAGTAGTGGTTTAGAAATTTAAAAAAGGCCAATCCAAATCATGCGGCAATCGCAGTCGCAGACATATTTGTCAGGGTGCAAGGAAGGATAGACGACGTACCCATGCCGAGCGCGGAGAGCTCGACCTCGCCGTGCTGCTGCATGTACCTCTGCACGCGATGCAAGGGAAAGAATCAGCGCCCACCCGGCCATGGCCTAACAACGAGACCCGCAGGCGATCGATCGATTGATCGACGCGTGAACAGATATATTGAATACCTTGGCGAGGTTGACGTAGAAGAAGAGGGGTTTCTTGGTGTTGGACACCTGAATCCGGTTGCTGCTCCCGCCGCCGCCGCTGCCGTTGGCGGCCCTCGCTCTCTGCGCCTCCGCCGCGTCGCCCGACATTGGTGACGCCGCTGCTAATAGCAAGATCGAACGGTCCGCCGGCGGTGATTCGCTGCTCGTCTCGATCGTGCGCAGGACGGGTTCGTGGCTCGTGGCTTCAGGTTGGAGGGAGGAAGAGGGGGCGTGGCGATATTAATGGCTGTATGAGACGATCGGATGAGAAGGCGAGTCGGATCGGGAGCGGGTCGTGCGAGGAGTCGGGTACCGAGTCCGTGCCCAGCTCCAACTCAAATAGTTTACGAGTGTTTCTCTCAAAACAAAGATATCCTTCTAATTTCCTAATTTTACAAGATGTCCGGACCTCTAAAAACAAAAATATACGACCTCTGTACCAAAATAGAAGACCTTTTTTTCTGCGAAAATTCTTGTATTACTCAAAACTCAGAATTACAATCACGACGTACAATATCAAGGACTTCTCCGGGTCCTGACCCAAGCCATACCGCAGTACGAACTTCAACACTACCAAAGTTGGCCATAAAATGACTAGCTAAATTTTGACTACGTCGAATATGAGTAATACAAGAACCACGTTCCTCTAGATTATCCTTGATCTCTTTGACTAAGAAAGCAAATTTAGACCTATTCATAACAACACTCTGCACCATCGTTACGGCTTCCAGACAATCAGATTCAACTTGGATAGGTAGATTGCTTCATTGGGAGGCCAACATTAGGCCTTCCTTTATTGCAAAAATCTCCGTCTCTAGAACATCATCATAGGAGAATAGATGCCGACATGAGGTGAAAATAATGCTCCCATCATGAGCTCTGAGAATCATACCTGCTCCGGCAATTCCATTTAGGACCGACCCATCGGTGTTAAGTTGGGTTACCAAAAGGGGTGTTGTTATTGCATGTATCAGCCATGAGTGGGCAACAAGTTGAGACGGGAGTCTTTCCTATATGCATGTTCACATTTGGGTCGATGGCAATGGATTGAAGAGATTCAAGATAGCTAGCTAAGAATCTGCACGAGACTTCCACGGGTGGTGCTGGTTTTGCATGGATTATTTCGTTGCGAACATACTGATACGTTCGTTTTGCATCAAGCTTTTATATCAATATTTATTGCATTATGGGCTATTATTACACATTATATCTCAATACTTATGGCTATTCTCTCTTATTTTACAAGGTTTACCATGAAGAGGGGGAATGCCGGCAGCTGGAATTCTGGCTGGAAAAGGAGCAAACGTTGAAAACCTATTCTGCACAACTCCAAAAGTCCTGAAGCTCCACGAAACATCTTTTTGGATTTAATAAGAATTTTTGAGCGAAAGAAATACATCGGGGGTCCCACACCCTGTCCAGGAGAGAGGAGGGCGCCCCCCTATAGGGCGCGCCCCCTATCTCCTGGGCCCCCTGGTGGGCCCCCGGTGTCCATCTTCTGCTATATCAGAGCTTTTACCCTGGAAAAAATCGTGGGCAAGCTTACGGGACGAAACTCCGCCGCCACGAGGCGGAACCTTGGCGGAATCAATCTAGGGCTCTGGCGGAGCTGTTCTATCGGGAACACTTCCCTCCGGGAGTGGGAAATCATCACCAACGTCATCACCAACGATCCTCTCATCGGGAGGGGGTCAATCTCCATCAACATCTTCACCATCACCATCTCCTCTCAAAACCCTAGTTCATCTCTTGTATCCAATCTTGTATCAAAACCACAAATTGGTACTTGTAGGTTGCTAGTATTGTTGATTACTCCTTGTAGTTGATGCTAATTGGTTTATTTGGTGGAAGATCATATGTTCAGATCCTTTATGCATATTATTGCTCCTCCGATTATGAACATGAATATGCTTTGTGAGTAGTTACGTTTGTTCCTGAGGACATGGGTGAAGTCTTGCTATTAGTAGTCATGTGAATTTGGTATTCGTTCAATATTTTGATGAGACGTATGTTGTCTTTTTCTCTAGTGGTGTTATGTGAACGTCGACTACATGACACTTCACTATTATTTGGGCCTAGAGGAAGGCATGGGGAAGTAATAAGTAGATGATGGATTTCTAGAGTGACAGAAGCTTAAACCCTAGTTTATGCGTTGCTTCGTTAGGGGCTGATATGGATCCATATGTTTAATGCTGTGGTTAGGTTTACCTTAATACTTCTTTTATAGTTGCGGAAGCTTGCAATAGGGGTTAATCATAAGTGGGATGCTTGCCCAAGTTAGGGCAGTACCCAAGTACCGGTCCACCCACATATCAAATTATCAAAGTACCGAACGCGAATCATATGAACGTGATGAAAACTAGCTTGACGATAATTCCCAATGTGTCCTCGGAAGCTCCTTTCTCATTATTAGAAATTGTCCAGGCTTATCCTTTGCTACATAAAGGATTAGGCCACCTTGCTGCACTTTATTTACTATATTTACTTTTTACTCGTTACCATTTATCTTATCACAAAACTATCTATCACCTACAATTTCAGTGCTTGCAGAGAAAACCTTACCGAAAACCGCTTATCATTTCCTTCCGCTCCTCGTTGGGTTCGACACTCTTACTTATCGAAAGGACTACGATTGATCCCCTACACTTATGGGTCATCAAGACTCTTTTCTAGCACCGTTGCCGGGGAGTGTAGCGCTTTTGGTGAGTGGAACTTGGTAAGGAAACATTTATATAGTGTGCTGAAATTTTCTGTTACTTATCACTATGGAAACTAATCCTTTGAGGGGCTTTTTTGGGGTATCTTCACCCCAACCAGAAGAGCAAAGAGTTGTTTCTCAACCTACTGAACTTTATGAAAATATTTACTTTGAGATCCCTTCGGGTATGATAGAAAAATTGTTAGCTAATCCATTTGCAGGAGACGGAACATTGCATCCCGATTTACACCTTATCTTTATGGATGAAGTTTGTGGATTATTTAAGCTTGCAGGTATTCCCGATGATGTTTTCAAAAGGAAGGTCTTCCCTTTATCTTTGAAGAGAGATGCATTGACATGGTATAGGTTATGTGATGATACGAGATCTTGGAATTATAAGCGATTGAAGTTGGAATTTTACCAGAAGTTCTATCATATGCACCTTGTTCATCATGATCGTAATTACATATATAATTTATGGCCTCGCGAAGGAGAAAGCATCGCTCAAGCTTGGGGGAGGCTTAAGTCAATGTTATATTCATGCCCCAATCATGAGCTCTCTCGGGAAATGATTATTTGGAACTTTTATGTTTGGCTTTCTCTTGATAATCGCAACCTGCTCGATACTTCCTGTGCTGGTTCTTATATGCTAAAAACTATTGATTTCAAATGGGACTTATTGGAAAGAATTAAGCGCAACTCTGAAGATTGGGGTTCCGACGATGGTAAGGAGTCAGGTATGACACCCAAGTTCGATTGTGTTAAATCTTTTATAGATACCGATGCTTTTCGTGGATTTAGCGCTAAGTATGGACTTGACTCTGAGATAGTAGCTTCTTTCTATGAATCTTTTGCTACTCACGTTGATCTCCCTAAAGAGAAGTGGTTTAAATATAATCCTCCTGTTGAAGTGAAAGTAGTTGCACCTATTACAGTCGAAGAAAATACTGTTACCTATAGTGATCCTATTGTTCCTACTGCTTATGTTGAAAAACCTCCTTTTCCTGTTAGGATAAAGGATCATGCTAAAGCTTCGATTGTTGTTCGTAAGAGTAATACTAGGACTTATACACCTCCTGAGCAAATTAATGTTGAACCTAGTATTGCTATGGTTAAAGATCTCTTGGACGAGGATTTAGATGGGCATGTTATTTCTTTCTGTGGTGAGACTGCTAATATTGCTAGGCCAGATACTAAGACACGTACACCTGTCGTAGGCATGCCTGTTATTTCTGTTAAAATAGGAAATCATTGTTATCATGGCTTATGTGATATGGGTGCTAGTGCTAGTGCAATACCTTATACTTTATATCAAGAAATTATGCATGACATTGCACCCATTGAATTAGAAGACATTGATGTTACCATTAAGCTTGCTAATAGGGATACCATTAAACCCTTTGGGGTTGTTAGAGATGTTGAAGTTTTGTGTGGGAAGGTTAAATACCCTACTGATTTTCTTGTTCTTGGTTCCCCACAAGATGATTTTTGTCCCATTATTTTTGGTAGACCCTTCTTGAATACAGCGAGTGCTAAGATTAATTGTGAAAAGAATATTGTCACTGTTGGCATAGATGGTATGTCTCATGAGTTTAATTTTGCTAAGTTTAGTAAACAACCTCGTGATAGGGAACCACCTAGTAAGGATGAAATTATTGGTCTTGCTTCCATTGCTGTTCCTCCAACTGATCCGTTAGAACAATATTTGCTAGACCATGAAAACGATATATTTATGAAGGAAAGAGAGGAAATAGATGAAGTGTTCCTTAAACAAGAACCTATGCTGAAACATAACCTTGCCGTTGAAATTCTTGGGGATCCCCCTCAACCCAAGGGTGATACCGTGTTTGAACTCAAACCATTACCTGATAGTCTTAAGTATGCTTATCTTGATGAAACGAAAATATATCATGTTATTATTAGTGCTAACCTTTCAGAGCAAGAAGAAGAAAGATTATTGAAAACTCTGAAGAAGCACCGAGCTGCTATTGGATATACTCTGGATGATCTTAAGGGCGTTAGTCACACATTATGCCAACACAAGATTACATTGGAGGACGATGCCAAACCAGTTAGAGATCCTCAACGACGACTAAATCCCAAGATGAAGGAAGTGGTAAGAAAGGAGATACTAAAGCTCCTTGAGGCAGGTATTATTTATCCCGTTGCTGATAGTGAATGGGTAAGCCCTGTCCATTGTGTTCCTAAAAAGGGAGGTATTACCGTTGTTCCTAATGATAAAGATGAATTGATCCCACAAAGAATTATTACAGGTTATAGGATGGTATTCCGTAAGTTAAATAAAGTTACTAAGAGAGATCATTACCCTTTACCTTTTATTGATCAAATGCTAGAAAGACTTTCCAAACACACTCATTTCTGCTTTCTAGATGGTTATTCTGGCTTCTCT